ATCGCGTAGCGGATCGGTTCGCTGAGCGCGGGCCCGAACAAAGGCAGCAGGAAGGCGAACAGTACCTGCCTCTGGCCGGCCGGCCGCCTCTGCGCACGGCTCCCTCCCATCCGCGCTCCGTTCTCTGCCAGCTCTCCTCGCCGCGTTTGCAGATGAAATCTCAGTCCCTGGTGTCCCGGGAAGAGCCTTCGGCCCGGGGACAGGCAGAAACTCCGTCTCGGGGCTGGGAATCCGTGTGCGCTGGGCAGGGTCTGCGTGGCTGAGCGCTTGGCTTTGGTGTATCACTAGCTGATTTTCTTCTGTGTTTCTGGCTAGGCTGAAAATCCCAGACCGGGATCCCCGGCGGCGTAGGCGCTGGCTCTGCACTGGCCGACAGCGACGCCCAGAGGCGGAATATGGGACTGTAGCATGTCTTTTCTCTCCATCTCTAGTCCAGGAAATCCTTTTCTTTACATCGGTTGCCAAGCGCTAAACTATTGAGTCTTATAGATATGGTCATGACTGTCATATATTTTTATTCATTAAAATGAGCATTTATTTTAATATGTAAAATTTTTCTTTTAAGATAAGAAAGTGAAAAACAGTCCAAAGTCGAACTGCTGTCCCAGTGCCCATTGCTACCCAGTTCTTCCCTCCAAGGTCAATCACTGTTGTTACTGTCAAGCTTAATTTTCCATGAAGCTCATAGTGCTTAAGCAAAAAATGAATTATCTTCAACCCAAGCCCACATTCTTCTAGAAAGTGATAATTTTTTCCATATATATTTAGCAACTAGAAGACAACCATTCCCATATTCACTATAAGAATCTAGAGTTTGGAAACTCAGGGGAATCCAGGACAGATGATACCGTCAGGACCAGTGGTGTGAGTGGCCATACCTGGAGGGTGGAGGGAAGGTGGGGTGGAAAGGGGGAACCAATTACAAGGATCTGCATATAACCTCCTCCCTCGGGGGTGAACAACAGAAAAGTGGGTGGAGGGAGACGTTGGACAGTGTAAAATATGACAAAATAATAATAATTCATAGATTATCAAGGGTTCATGAGGAAGGGGGAAGCAGGGAGGGAGGGGAAAATGAGGAGCTGGTACCAAGGGCTCAAGTAGAAAGCAAATGTTTTGAGAAATGATGATGGCAACAAATGTACAAATGTGCTTGACACAATGAATGGATGTATGGATTGTGGTAAGAGTTGTGCGAGCCCCCAATAAAATTATTTTTTTTAAAGAATCTAAATTTCCTTGTACTGCATTAACCAAATGCATTTGTTTACAATATCCACAATGACAAGGAGTAGTTTTACTTAGTATTTTCAAAATAAAAGGATTGTTTGAGTTAGAGGTATACTTTTGACTCTGATGGAGAGACGTTTAAATAATTTAATGGCTAATAGCTATGAAAGTGTACTTTCTTTCCACAGACCAATCACAGACCTATTTCACAATGCTCTATCTTCCACATGAAGTTAGAGATTCATAGACAAAAAGATCCTGCAGTGTTACCAGTATGATTATGTTTGGAAATGGTTAAGCGTATATTGCTATGAATTGTTAACAGAACACTGATGAAGAGTTTAAATCTCCCTTGGAAGTATACCAAAGTCAGTGAAAAATATAACCTCAAAGATATATTGTCTTCCTTAGGAAGAGCAGCCACCGACTCGTGGCTTTGGGTTGTGTCTCCAGTAAAGTAAAGCTAATGTGTTGATTTTTGTTATTTGCCCATTCCACTCAGTTCTACCTTCA